TTCATTTTGTTTGGTTTTATCCATTAAAATAAATTTTTTTTTAAAAAAAGGTAAGACAGATGTTACTCAGATGAATCAGAGAAGGGAGCAGGTGTGTTCCAGAGCTAAAAGCCAGAGAATCTTGTGGCCTTTGGAGCAAAGAAAAATGATGCAGTCTGGAAGGAATGTGATGAGTGATGGCAAGACTGATGAATGGAAAGGAAGGAGAGGTTTCTGAGATCAATTCGTGATCAGTCTGAAATACTATGGTCCAGTTCTTTTTCCCTCATCCTAAGGAAAAAGTGAAGACCATCTGCCTGCAGTATGAAGTGTGGTGTGGGTTGGAGGATGGAAATGAGGAAGCCACCGCAATCATCTGGGAGAGAAAAGATACTAATTTGAGCTCTGATGAAGATAACGATTTGGCTAAAGAAAATGATTTAGGAGACTTATCCTGAATTAGAATCTACAGCACTTAATATTTCATTGGCATAGCCAATGAAGGTGAAAAGAGAGTTCAAGACAACATCCAGGATTTTCTGTTTATTAAGCATAAAATAACTAATATCTAGCCCATGAAACAATGTATTTTTAAATGAACTAGGGTGCGTTCCCATAGACTCACACCCAGTATTATTTAATATATCAGCATCATTTAAGAGCCTCTATATTATTTTATTATAAAAATAACTGAAATAGTACTTTTGTACAATATTTGTTTAATCAAACAAGATGACCTCAAAAATATTTTACAGGACTAAATCATAACACATTATCATAATTCATTTATATATTCCTTTTTAGCCTTAGCATTTTATTTCATGTTTTAAAATAATTATAGAGAAATAAGTTCTTTCGGGAAAGGTAATAGCAAGAGAGAACAAGGCCACACCAGCAAACAAGCCCAGTCTGGGAACCTGCGCCATGCACGGACCACTACTGGACTACAAATAGCCAGGGCCCAGCCCCTTCTGGTGCACGGGCTAGTAAACAAGACGTACCAACACTCTCCTACCTTTTGTAAGCGACCAGCTCACCCAGAGAAACACAGGATGTGATATAGCTATTGAGGTGAAGTGCAGTTGGATGCCTGTGGGGCTTGGTGTTTCACTAACACTGCAGATCTAGGGCCAGTGGTCTGATCATGGGTTTGGATGCCAGGGTAAACAATGTGGCATCTGGGGGATCTCTTTCTGAGGGGTGCAGCCATTGTTTTCTCCGTATGGTCTTATTTTGAAGTCCTATATCATTTCTATTGTTTTGTTGGGTTGGGTTTTATTACCTTTTGTTTTGTTTGATTATGTTAAATCAATGACAGGAGAAGCTATTTCAAGGATAGCAAACTATATTATGGTAGCAATTTTGGATTTACTACTGGTTTGTTTGAAGTCCCTTATGGCATGCATTGTTTCATTTTTGTTGTTTCTGTTCTGTTCTGTTTGATTTTTACTATGTCTGAAGTTATCTGCAGCTATTTTGAAGACATCAAAAGGCATTATGGTAACTATTATAGATTTCATAATGTTTTAAAGTCCTGTATCTCTTACAATGGTTTGTTTTGATTGATTTTATTCTGTTTTATCCTCTTTAATTTAAAATAAAAACAATTATAGAAAAAAATAGTCACATTCTGATTATCATTGTGTGTGTATATGATGTACAGTTCTCATTCCGTGGAGAATTAGTTAAGACGGTGCTTAAATTCTCACTTCTATGGCCACTTCTGTCTTAAGTGAGGGTTAAATGAAGTTGGTACAAATAATCAAGATGGCAAGTATCTTTAAGGAAAACTGCTTGATAAAGAGAGTAATAATCTAGATAGCAATCTCTCCCTTCTATTGTTTTCTTAATTTGCTTTATTGGAATTTTTAAAAATACCCTTACCCATGAAGAGAAACTAAATCTATCTTAAAATTCATGAGTTTGTACAATTATTTAATTAAAATAAACATTAGAATTACCTTTTCAGGAGCTCAGGTCAGTTTTGTCTGAAAAAAGTGCTAAATACTGTATTATTTTTATGAGTTTGTTAAATCTAACAGGTTTATTCATGGGAGATATGTATAAAATATTTTCTATAGCCCTTTCATCTACAAATGAATTGTTGGTAATGGATTCACATGCTTTATTTGTTAAACAAATTTATTAAAATGCTAATATTTAAATTAAGGAGAAAATTTATGGCCAAAATGAACAAGTTGCACATATTTCTGTAGGATTTGAAAAGAAGATGTTGTTCATTCTTTTAAACAAAATAAAATATTGAATTTCTATGTCACCCATCATATACAGCATGTTTTTAGAGGAATGAAACTTTGGAAATCAAATAGCTGTTTCTCAGCATTAAATACCAAGAACTATATTTGATGTTAGTCTCAATGATTTTCATTTGTGTGTCCATGTGTGTATGTGCCTTTGCGTGTATGTATGTAATATATGTAATCCATCAACTCCTTCTAATAACACATTTATAATTAATTAAGTATAGTTGGAAATTTTAAATAACACAAGAAAACCATGCTGGTTTTAATATGATAAAGGACATAATTAGAATGTTATATAGTTTACCATGAAATTCTCACCTAAGAAAATCATCTTTACTCAAATAATTTTGTTAAAATGATTTCTAAGCTCAAGTCAGTTCTTAATCTGGGACTATGTAAGTGGAACAGCAATTACCTAGAAAGTCTATGAAACTAAGTTTTGGGGCTCTGTTACAAAATTGTTTCTTAATCTCAATGTTGATTATGGAGTATGTTATTTGTAAAAAATCCAAATAGCATTCTTACAATTGTGTACCTTTCTGTGTGTACTTTATACTTATAAAAGTCACATAAAAATATAAAACTTCATTGTACAGTAACATAGAGTTTAGAAGAAAATAAAGGAGAATCTGTTTTTCATAGGCTAGCCACGATCTCCGGATCTCAAGTGATCTACCTGCCTGAGCTTACCAGATCAGATAGCTTGGACTACAGGTGTAAAAAAGTCCCAGATAAGTGGAACAAAAATATTAATCAGCACACAATAAATAATAACCATTAATTAAAAATAATGAATTCTACTACATTAGGGTAATTTGCTTCATCAGGACATCCCATTAATTGAAAGTCATTTTCATAAAATAGAAGATATTTGCAATACATAGGTCCAATAAGCCCTCATTAAATATATGTAAAGAATCTCCATAAATCAGTAAGGAAAAGAGAAATGATCCAATAGAAAAAATAATGAATTGAACATGAAATTAACTTGGTATGGTACACAATTAACAATAAACACATGAAAATATGTATGGTTACACTAGATATTGTAAGTACAAAACTTAAAAACTATAATTTTTTGGTCATTGTGGTAATACAGACTTGATGGGTTAAAGTTTAAAAACAGTGACTATACTAGGTGCTAGAAAGGTTGTATAGAAACCAGAATGGTGAACTACTATTGCGAAAGTGTAAATTGGTACAAGCACTTTGGAAAACTAGTTGGCAACATCCTCCATTCCTGAGTATATGCATTTGCTCATGTGATGAAGGAACCCTATTCTATCCATTACCAACAAGATGGATCCAGCACTTGTGACACATTCATGCAAAAGCACACAGTATAGCCATGAGAAAAAAGACTAAACTACTTCAGTTATGTATAAGAGTATGACTGAATCTTACAACTCACTTCTTAAGGTTGAGTGAAAGAAAACAGACACAAATTACTTATGTAATGGTGTAAAATCAGACAAAACTAACTGGGCATAGTGATACATGACTAAAATCTCAACACTCTGGAGATCTAGACAGGAAGAAGGTAACCTGAGTCCAACCTGGGCAACTTAACAACTAAATGGCATCCTGTCTTAAAAGTATAACTAAAAAGTGTAATTAGAATGAGTGTCAGTGAGCAGGCCCTGGTTTAATGCTCCTGGGTGGGTGAGGGGCAGGGGGCAGACATAACCAATCCACAGTGTTTGACATCATGACAGTGGTTACCCATAGGAGGTAGGGATAATAGCTGGGAGACAGAATCAGGAAGCTTTCTGGAGAGAAGTGATCACCTATTTATTAGTATAATATTGATTCTACAGGTGTACTTTCATTGTGAGAACTAATCAGGCTATAAATTTGTGCTTTTATGTATGTTCTTCAATGCTAATATGAAGATTTAAAGTTCCAGTTATTTTTCTGCAAATAACATGAGTTCATTCTTCTTTGTGCCTGAATATATTTTTATTGTATATCTATATCTATATCTACATCTATAGCTATAGCTATATTATGTATTCATCTGTGGTTGAGCCCCTACACTATTCAGCTATTGATGAATTGCACTGTTATAAGCATAGGCATTAAAATTACTGAACACATATTAAGAGAATTACTGTATTAAAATTACTGAAAACATATGAAGAGAATTATGACAAGAAACTTAGGAACCAATTTCAAAAGGCCTCCACACAGCAAAAAATGTAATAGTTTAACAATCAAAGTGACAATGATTATAGTGCACTAAAACACATTGAATCAAAGAAACTCTGTCTGTAAAGGTGTTTAAAGATAGAAAGTACTAAAATTGTACATGTATCTTTTGAGCTAATAGACTGATCATATCTTATCACTTTATCAGGAATATCTTGACTTGATTATTAATTGCCTTCACTTCTGTTATCAAAAGTGTTGGAGATTGGCAGATGAATTATATAACACAGCACTAATAAAGGAGATCTTTACTCTATATTTGTGAATTGGTAAAGAAAGGAAAAGAACTGAATGGTTTTCCTACCCTTTCTAGATGACATAGATGAAACAAAACCTTATTTTATAGAACTTCAGCGTTTAATATTTGTTTCTTTGTATTATAGGGTTGTACAAAATATATTCCTTTTGTGATTAATATTTGATGCTTTGTTATGCTATAATAAATTAAAAGTAAAAAGTTCAAATAAAAACATAAAGACATATTTATCACATGGCATACAAAATATTTTAATTGAGAAAAATTTGAAACAGACATTTATATCAATTATTATAATACTCTGAAATCTTCTCTCATACAAATGAAACTTTAGAAATGCAAAAAGTATGGTAATAAAATGAACTACTTAAATAATTTCTCTGTCTTCCTTCAGAGGAATTTCTAGAGAGGTATTGGAGTATATAAAACATGAAAGATAATACAATACATAAATGAAAGTAGGAATGAAATTAAAAGTAAAAAACTAAGTAAGAAAAAATATAACACCAAAAAAAGTTAAAATGTACAGCATATACGCATATACAAATATTACATATATTATACAAATTTAAATGCTCATTATACAGTTAACATTATCTATAAGATATATTATCCAATTTCTCTTAACTCTAAAATTAATATAATACACAAATTTGAGTGCCCATTACACAATTAACATTATCTATAAGATATATTATCCAATTTCTCCTAATTCTAAAATTAAATTGAAATTGCTCTAGAAGATGTTGTTAAAAAGAAACTGAAGTCATAAAGAACATCCTCTACGATATTAGCATACGTACCCTATCTTTTCATTTTTACATTATTCTTGGCTTTCTATATTTGAAACACTTTCTTTAAGGTCCTCAGAATTTCACAACTTAATTTCAGTTTTTCCAAAGAGCTAATTTCCTATTCATTCAATATTCTTTTAAGCTGCTTCAAGGTTATTAGTGTTATTCATATAAATTACAAGAAATCAAGAAACCTGAAATTAAATTTTCTAGCCCATGAAAGAACTCTATGATTTAAGAAATTCAACATGATTGCATTATAAATATGAATGAAATCCCATTAACAATCATCAAAGACTTATTTAAGCGTGTACAGACTGTAATTTTCTCAAAAAATCCACATATATTTGTGAAAGATTGCTTTTTTTAGTAGAGAATTGTGAGTGTTCATGTATTTTAATCTATAGATATAAATATTTGCTGTTGTTGATGCTACATTTTGTACTATGTTTGCCATTTTGCTGCTGGGTGCTGAGAACCTGGTGGTAAGTATGCATTTGAACTGGTCAATTCTAATATTTATTCAAGAAGTATATTTGGATGTTCAATCAACATGAGTGAACTTCCCAACTGTGCGATTAACTGTTATCATCTAGTAGTTTGGCAACATATAGTCAAAGCTGGAGCCCTGTTAATGAGGCAGAAATTCATCCCTGACTCCAACATTAATTTAGCATTTGCTTTCACATTTAGAGTGTGAAATAGGAGCTTATCTTTAATTCCCACCAGTGGTTGTTCTATGAAGCTGATATTTACTCTTTCTGTTTTAACTAAATCAGAACAATGCTGGTCTTTGATGCACAGCTTTGAGTCTGCAAGAAAAATATTCCTCAAAGGTATGAAATAATGCACCCACTCACTGAGAGTATTAAATGATGAACCAAAAGACAGACAGCAAGGAGCTAAGAGTCTGTTAATTCTCTCGGAGCTGAGATTTGAGCCTTCAGAGCTGACCTCTTTCAATAATTGTTTTCTAATTCAGAAGTGTCATTGCACTTCGGGATTATAGTGTCATAGTCTTTAATAGCAAAATAGAAATAAGAACAAACATTTCTACATTCTAACAGCATTATCATAAATACAGGGAAAGCCGAGGTGGGACTGAAGAGAGAACAACGAAAAGAAGAAGCGACAGTAAGTCCAACATTTGGAGCAAGCTACCAATTTTTTTGGAAGAATAAAAGTGAATAACTGTCCCAGAATTGGACTCCCATGTCACTGACTTGAATCTATTGACGGGCTGAGCGGTGGTGTGGAGACACAGAGTGCTCCTGCTTTACACCCTGGTGTCCACAGCATACATTTTGGCAGTCTCTGTCCGAGAAGCCACGTAGGACTTGGCCACGGAAGCACCTGCAGCGGAGTAGGGCTTCCCTGTGGAGTAAGGGCAGCTCTGGGGCCCAGCGGCTGGGAGAGAGATGCGGGGAAGGACAAGTGAGCGTGGCTCTGTAAACGTCACAAATTTAAGAGAAAAACACAATTTTACATAGGTTTTCCCAAAAAGGGGATGAAATAAACTTCTTAGCAGAAATTACTTAGGAATCCTTGCAACAAGCCTAGAAGAAAACTTAAGATTTTCATCCTAAAGGTTACATTTAGACTTGAAATTCAGCCAAGTAATTTTCTTTTGCTCTCTCTCTCTCTCTCTCTCTCTCTCTCTCCTCCCCCCCCCATGAGGAATGGCATCACCATAGTTTTGAAAATGAAGGTTTATGAAACTCAATATAGCATAGTAAATTATTTCTTCACACCTGTTTAACTAGTAGTCCACTTTTTATTTGTCTCTGAATTTGGTTGGCTGGGTAAGTTAAGGTATATAAAAATTATGATATATCAAGTTCAACTAACTTTCCAAGTTATCTATTCTACTGTTTCAAAAAATTTTAAGATAAATGCTAATTTGTTTCATATATAGTACTACTTTTTATGTTGATTGAAGAGAAATTTTTGTCTTTTTATTTGTTTCTTTTTTTAAAGAGGTTATCTTTTTGGTCTATGACTTGTATTCTGAATAACATTTTGGTCATTCTTTTAAGATCATATTACATGATATATCAACCTCTGTTTTTCTCTAATTATCTTGTTATGAAATTAGTTTTACTTTGTCAGTGAAACAGGAAGAGTATGCTTATATTTTTATTATTAATACTGTGTTTATTGCATTAAAATACAAAATAACTTTAAAATCATTACTCTATTGAATTGGACAGGATTATAGCTGTGGATATCTTTTTCCACTGACATACTATTGACTTGGCAATGAAATTTGAATATTACAATTCAGTTGTCTTTGACTGTTTGGAAATTTTAATGGTAGTGCTTAGAAATTTCAATACTGTAGCTTTCATAATAATGAGATGTTTTACCACTGGGAGGAAGGCTTGGTAGTGGAAGCAAGGAAATGTGCTCTTTTACTTTGTTCTTACCTTTAAAGAAGTATGAGCAGCAGGTGAGGACAGCTCCAGCCAAAAAGCAACCTACAGACCCAGCCATTCCAAGCCAACATGACCAACCAAATTTATACTGGATACCAATAAATATGTTATGAAAAGTCAGAGAAGTACGTTCTACATAAACATCGACAGCGTACCACACAGAACCAATGATTCCTGGAGCACCTGAATGAAAGAGAGGATTGTAAGATAGTATGAAACATTTCCAAATTTAAATCTAAGGAGAACTGCTTACTACCCAAAAGGTATCCCTTAGAGAGGTCACGATGATATCACAGGTTCCTGGGCAACTCACAGTTTAGGTAACTCTTCTATTTAGAGGCCACGACAAACCTAAACTATATAGCGTACATACATGGCACAGCTACTGGGCTTAAGGCCACAATGAATGCAACAACCTGAAAATACACCAAGCACAAGAGAAAAAAGAATGTCATAAAGAAAGGCAGTAAACATGAATGGTATGAAGTTGCTGCCAGTGAAACATATTATATTGCTTCACATTAAGTATTTTATAAGTAGAAGGAGTATACTCTAAAATAATGATAAAATTATAATGTAGTAAATATATAGAAGCCATTAGAATAGTTGTTAATTAGCATTATCAAGTAGTGCAGCAGGTTTTTAATTTTACATTTTTACATTAGCATCACAACGAACATCTGAGGAACGCACTGTGTTACTATGTTACCACTGCTACAGTGTCACCTGGTAATAAAAACAATTTAACTTCTTCAGAATTGTAAGGGCCACCACTATGAGCTGTCCTTGACTAAAATGTTATTATGTGGCTTATAATTGCACTGTATAAAGAAAAAATATTTAAAAGATAGAAAACCTGAAAGAATATCTAACCTCACATAATTTAGAGAAAATATTCACTCGACTTATTTTTCAATATCTGAAACAAATACCTGAAATTAAAACCTTGTTTTTGTTTTTAATAAATCTCTCTCTCCCACCTCTCCATGATATAACAATGAACCAAGAAATGTTACTGCTTTTAGTAAAATTTAATTTCCATGGTTATCCTCTCTGAAAATTCACTAGTTTGAAATGGTATCAATGGAATCCTCTTACCATTTTAAGCATTTTAGTTGTATGTCAAGGTCTATAAATAAGAACAAAAAATGGTAATTTGGGAGGGGAAAAAAGGCCACAGAAAAAAGTATTTCTAAAATTCATACCCTCAAAATTAAGTTTCTCACTGTTTTCCCTGGAGAGGTCTGTGATATCTATGTAAATAACTAGTTCTAGTGTGCAGGCAGTTTAAGGAACAAACTCATGAGCATATAATCATTATAAACAGAGATACGAATTGTCACAACTCTCCAATAACACTATTACCCACTGGTTTAAGTAGGAAATTCCTGTTTGGAAACTTCAACACAGAAAATAGATTTTTAAAAATACATGGATGTAGCATATTCATTCTGAATGGAGAGTTCAAAACCTTCATCATCCTAGGCATTTAGGTTCCTCACAACTTCTGTCCTTCCTACCGGAATTTTCATTAGGGACTTGCATTTTCCAAAGAATTGCTTTGTTATTTTATTTTAAAGTGAGGTATCTCTGGGGTATAGCCCAGTGGCACAGAGCCTTCCTAGCAAGTATGAGGTCTTGAGTTTGATTACCAGTACCCTGCCCCACAAAAAAAGTAAAGTGGGGTGTCTACTGATGCCTCAGATCATTCTAGAACATTCTGGAACATCTCAGAGGCTCAACACTTAAAATTTATTAAATAAAACTAGTTATTGTATGTAAAAGGCTTATGTTCTCAAGAGGTCAAATATGTGATTGAAAGTTTTTGAAGAATTATTAAATTCTTGCAACTTTCAAATACAATCTGAGTTCAGAGCCTAAGTAATACTGTAGGTAGAAGCCCCAGGGAAGCCTCATTCTTAACATGTGAAGGGTGTGCCTTCTGCTCAGCGCTTTCCCTGCCTGTACTGAATTTTCACAGCAGTATACCAGGGTGGAAATTGTTGACTCCAGTTTTTCAATCTGGAAATGAAACAAAGATGAAAATATATCCTCTTATATTCTTAATTCCAAAACCCTATCCATATTCATTACCCTACACTATCTGGTCAATGGTTCACTCACATTTTCTTGCTAAATTCTTATCGTATGAGAAGATGATTTTCTCTATTTTTTGGCTTACAGTCTTCTTTCATTTCCTTTGATCTCTCCAGCAGTATAATCTCTCACAATTTGGATTAAGATCAATAACATAGTACAAAGTCTAAGTTTTATAGTTGAAGATGAGTATGACTGAAAATTCCATTTTGCTCTTTTACAAATAAATACTATGTGAAGATAATCCTTCCTGACTCACTTGTTATACGTGATTTTTTTCTTTTAAATTTTATGTATTTGCTTTTTTATTTCAGATGATAATATGATGTTTATTATTATGTTTATGATGTTCATGGTAAAATGTATTAGCATAACATAAAAATCTAATGTATAGCTTGGCTAATCTTTTTCCTATTTTTTGTTTGTTTGTTTTTGAGACAGGGTCTTGCTATGTATTTCATGCTGGCCTTGAGCTCACTATGCAGCCCAGGCTGGCCTCTAACTTGCAATCATCCCCCTGCCTCAGCCTCCCTAATGCAGGGATTAAAGGTGTGTGTCACTGTGTCTGGCTGCGCTAATTTAACTTACTACTTAAAAAGAAAAAAATAAGGTAGGGATACAGCTAAGTAAAGATTTTTACTTTAGGAATTATCACGTAATAAACTATTTAAAAAATTAAAACATAGAACTTTTAAGTGACAAAACAATAATGTAAGAACTTCAGCCTACCTTAATCTGGGACATTAACAAAAGAGTATCTCATTCTAAAACTAAAGTAGGGTTGTTAGGGTGTGCAATCAAAATATAAGGTGAAGGTTTAAACTTTTAAGAACTACTAGAGTAAAAGGTGTATCATCATTAACCTTCCTTAAAATACTCCATCTTGCTTCACATACTCTTATCCCATCTTTCTTGCTCCTTCCGGAAAATGGTTTTAGACTTTCTTATGTCTTGTTGTGTTCTCATGGCTGCCCTGATATCCAAATTCCATTCAGAACATTTAGCTTTTATGAACATTTTCACTTAATGGAAGAGCCAGGAATAACAAACAAGGTGTCAGATCCAGTGGAAAAACTGGCTTATGACTCACTGTCAGGTTTTTATCTGATAGAAATTCCCATAAATAGTTTAATAGATTCTGGAAACCAAGGTAGCCCCCCCCCCAAGAAAAAGACACTCACAAGAAAAGGCTTTGACAGTTTTCTCAGAAATTGGCAATAGTGGGACACGCATGTTGGGGGGGGGGGGAAGAATCCTGAAAGCTAGTAAGAGCAATGTGTCTTTTACTATAACATTAAAAAATTCATGTAATCAATGTATTAAGGCACCTAAGGCCCTAAAATAAACTGCCTCCAAAAAGCACCCTCTTCCAGCTCCCATCCACAGCTGAGTATCCTCATTAATAGCGCATCCCTACCTTACCTGCTATTAGTAACGTGATCCCAGCAATGAAGCACATACGGACTTTAATGTCTGGCTCGTCCGGAAGGAATTTTATACAGTTTAGACCAAGAAGCAAGGTGAGAAATCCAAAACCAGCTAGAATATCTGCAGTGATCATCAGCGCTCGTGTGGCCACCAACTTCACTGTAAGACCAGGATGCGTGGTTACAGCAGAGTCAGAGGAGAGAAACAGATTAAACCACAGAGATACCTTCAATCAAAGCAGTCTTGCGTACATTAACGCAAATCCCCGGTAAATGTCAGATTTTACAGTTGCATAAACTTGGATATGGACACTCTTCATTTACCATCAAGTTCAAAAATATTGTAAAAGTATTGCCATTCTTATCTGCTAAATATCATTTTATTGAAAAGTTTAATTGGTTAGAATTTTGCACAGGAATGTAGGGCAAAGTACTCTAAAATTTCTATTGCCATTTCAGGCTGGTGGGAGCCATAAGCAGACCTCCAGAGAGGAAGAGAGTGCATGAAATTGAAGACCATCTTTGCAAACCAGAGTGCTTTTCTTTTCAGTCCTTCAGAGTATTAGCTTTCTTGGCAAACAGCCCTTATCAAATGAGCATGCACTAAAGCAATAGCGCTAAGATTGCAGGCAGGAGGACTAGGAAACAAATCAACCAAACAGAAGTGGAATAGCCCAGCACTCATCTTCTGCAGGAGAAGCACTCACAACTGTGACCATCTCAGCTTCTGAGGGATGATTATATTAAGTTAAAAATGGGGAAATTTTTACTACAGACTGAGAGTTCGTTGTGTGAGGTGGCAGCATTAGCTAATGGGTACCAGCAATAAACCTGATTCTTTTCATAGGACAGTAATTATATATCATTTTCAAAATGATATAGGATCTCCTTGCTTTTTAAATAATTTTTCCTCAAAAGTAAGGGAAAATTAGGGCTTATTTGGTAATATGCAACCAATTTTCTTTATTTAAAATATAAAATAGGTTTGAGCATATATCTCAGCAGCATAGCGTCTGCCTGGCAAGCACAAGGTCCTGAGCTTGATTCTCAGGACCAAAAAAATAAATAAAATAAAATAAAGTATCTGTATAATATGTCTGAGATAATAAATCAGTGCATAAAATCTCCCCACTTTGTAAATATAATACATATACATTCTTATTTATATTTATGTAAATATATATTTGTTTTTAAAATTGAGTTTTAACATTTTTGGGATTTGGCATTGTTTTTTAAAAGGTTCAATATTTCAAATATAAGACTCATTTTTTTCTGGAAATGAGGAAAGAGACAAATATAAAATTTATTAAGCAATAAGAGTTTTCTCTAATTCAAATACTCTACAGACCACCAAATGGTATATCAAAGAAGGCCTCTATTTTAGAATTCCAGGCCAGTGAGCATCTCCTTTGGAATTTCCTCATTCTCTTTTTGGAATCTGGGACTACTAGGGCCAAGAGTGTTATCAGGACAAGATGGTCTGAACTCATCCGGATTTTCATGGGTCCAATTTCTCCTTCATGTTGAGATTCTCCAGTCCAGGATTCATGCCCACAGTGATGTTTAAGGACCTAGTTCTTGGAGGTCAACCCTGGTAAGGATCCTATCTTCAGAATTGTATAAGATTTGGCCACCAGAAAGTAGTTATTAGGCTGATTTGGGTAGACTCAAATTATCTTTATTAGTGGGATCCTACAAAAGAAATTCATCTGGGACCATACAACCTATGTCTGTAGGGCAACAGAAAAACCTATGCAAGTGTAATTGTTTGAAAATTACAAATTCTAAAAATAAGGTTCTACTTCTTCATAGACAACATCATAACCTAGAGAATATAGACATGTGGATTACCTAGAATGCATTTTAAGCCTGGCTCTCTTTAACCATGTGATGTAAGTTTTAACAAAAACTAATGGACATTATATATTATTTAAACATCATAAATGACAGCAAAAGATATAATATTAGATAGTATAGACAATCTAAAACAGAACGTATTCAAATATAAACAGTGGTTGGATCTGCACAGAGCAATTTATTTTCTTCTTGCATAAATGTACATAGTAGCATGTAAAGGTCTTAAAAATTTAATCTTCCATTTTTTCCCTCAATCCTGGTCATGTTTTTATTTCTCCCCTCATCTCTAGCCATGCCTTGAATCTTTGGAACAGACACAGTGCCCGTATGAATCTCAATTCCTATTTTATTAAATCATGCTTCTTTATTAGAAGAACTACTGTAGTATAAAAAAAAGAAAGGGAAAAGAATTAAGATAATTTAGTGCAAATGAAAAGTTAACAAAATTCTTCATGACTTCTGTTAAACTGTATCAGACACCTAACTTCTAAATAGTAGTTGAAGATATTTTAGAGTATTCCTTGCATAAATGATTTTCCCTAGACTGAAACAGCTATATAGGGAAAAGGCCACTTTGAAATTACTTCTGATACTTCTTGAGAAGAGAATTCTCCATGTGGCTTCATGACATATTGTTTCCCTTGAAAAGAACTAAAATCACTTTTCTGTGAGAACGGGACTGTTGTTGCCTCTTTGGCAGAGTTAAATGTTACAAAGAAACAAGCAAACAAACAGATAGCTGCTCTGGAGAAAGATTGAGAGAATCAAAAAAGATTTTTAAGACATTCTTTTATTCATAGAAGCATGGACCTTGCAAATACTTAGCTAAGATTTAAAGCTACAAGTAAGGCAGCCGAAGGATCTGGCTTAAATATTACTGCTAACAATGTGTCACACTTGCTGAGTTTGTTATCCTCTAATCCCACAGCCTTCTGTCTTTGCCCTTTTTTTGCCACCTCTCTTTTTCCTAGCAAATCTTTAATTGAAATAACTACAAACTTTCCATGTGAGTCATGTTATTGCTGAGGGACATTTCTGAAATGCTACTTACCTTACTTGTCAATTCTAATCATAAACCATGGCACACAATAGATATATTTCAATTTAAAAAAAAAAAACTTACTATAAGCCTAATATGCATAAGGTGCTATGTCAGGTCCTTTGGAAAACAGCAAAGAAGACGTATTTTTATCAAGGAATTTACAAAACTATGGGAAAAGATAAAATACCCTAAAGTAGGTTTTAATTTATGTATTATAAAGTCACTTTCTCATAGAAACATTTTAAACTGCACAAACTTAACAGATGAGTACAGAAAACACAACCACACAAAGGAGATCTGAGCTCAGCTTCCTTGGGAATCCGCTCCCTAGAGTCAGAGAGGGCTGAGGGATACATACCGGAGTGCTCCGCATATATAGAGTCATAGTCTTCACAGGTACGAATGCCGTCAAAAGCATTGGTGACACACTCCCACCAGAGGCCTCGGCACTGTGCGCTCACCTGTGGGTTGGAAAAGAGTGTGTGAAGGAAAGCAAACAGAGGCTTCAGTTCCCCTCTATCAAAGGAATAACTCAGCTTTCCTGTTTGATAGCAGAGAACCCTGGTTATAAGCATGCTCAGAATTTGATTTAAGGGCATTTTAGAAGATTTTCCCTAATGTCTGTCTAGATGAGAGGGAAACAAATGCATTTCCTGATGTGTGTTTGTGTGCATGCTGTGTGTGCATATGAAAAATAAGTCATGGCTAAAAGGGATGAAATCAGATAAACATATTTGAATATCTAGGGCTAGTTCCTCCATCCAGTTATGGTTTAACATGGAGATAATCCATTTCACTTCCCAGTCTTGACTTTTACTCATAAAAATCTATAAAGTCATAGTTGATAACTATTCATGTCTTGAGTCTATTATGTCTTGAATCTATTAAGAACATACATTGTTTTTTATTTAACACTGAGTTTCATATTGTTTCATACGAGGTTGATTAATCAAAAGTTACCAAAGAAAGTCAATAAATGAAAAGATCAATAAATGACTAAAAATCAGTAAAGGACTAAAAGTCAATAAATGACTAAAACTCACAAGTCTTCCTCCCTTCTCTACTGATACAGAACAAATGTTTAAGGTGTGATATGTGATAATAATTTCGCGCAGGTTGTCAATCTTAAACCATTTTCATTAGCAGACAATAGCCAGAAAACAAGGGTGCACTTAGAGCTAGAAGTATCAGGGCATTAAAATTACATATTCCTTATACAGAAGAGGATGCAGTAGGGTTTTTTTACAATTGCAAAACTGTCAAGGCAAAATATTTTCTTGACGGAGCTGAAGCATATGGAACACAGCATGAGTCTTCCTTTAGATTCTGTGATGGAACCACATGACCTGGGCAACCCGGGGACTGTCCAGTAAAATTTAAGAATTATCTTGGAAACTTAAAACTTAAACTTTCCCCCCAGAAAATATAAATGAAAGAGAAAAGTAGAAGAGGAATGCAGAGGGAAGAATGTAAATCGCTGTGCAGGAAAAGAAGAAACACAAAAATACGTTGGTTTACACACACACACGCTGACAAGCACACACACATTTCACACACTAAGGAATACATACACTATGAAATTCTCAGCCCCATATTGTGCAATGAAGCCTCGTTTTGGACCAAATAAAATTCTGCTGCCAGCAATTTCATTACAGTTTTAAATGTGATAATTTTATGCCTAAAATACTTATAACTGGTAATAATTAGTGACTCTGCATTGAGTTATACTTTGAAACAGTTGCTACTTAGACATATAATTAGTTCATTAATTATTTAAAAGAGTTTACAAGATTTATTATGTTAATCCATTTTGCAAATAAGAAAATGGAGACACAAGACCCTGACAACTCTGAGAGAGTACAGTGGATAAAAGGAGAAGAGAAAACTCCAACACAGTATTCTGTGTGTCTCTTTGGCAGAGAAGTACATTTAAAACTCATTTTAAAAAATCCACTTGAGGATAAAATACTCCAGAACTCAATATTGCAGATTGCTCTGAGCAGAGTTAGCCCTAACTTGAATCTTATCCCAGGCCGTTATTCATCAAAACCTCACTCTGGTTTATTCTGCCTAAAGTTAAAGTCTGCAGCAATATTCTAGATTTTGTGGAAGATTATCTACTGGAAGAAACACAGAGTTCAAAGATTTAATAAGAAAAATATAGTTTGTAAATCCTCCACCAATTTCTAAAGTATGATCTAAACTAAATTTATATACCCACAAAACTTTAACCATAAATTGATACTCTTAATATCTGTATTGTAACTTTAATTAAGTTTTTCCTATCTAATAGCTTCAATTGCCTTTTCTATGGAAGGGATATAGTGATAGGGTTGTTGTAACTATTGAAAACTTGCAAATACAACAGTAAAAATGATTTGTTCCATAAGTGAAAATAGTAGCAAAGCACTCAAACATAGTAATGATTTAAATAGTGGCTATAATCAGCTTTACTAGCCACAAAAATGTGAAGCAAAGGCAGATGTAATAGGGTAAGTGAGGGCCCTCACAAGTTCTGTCCAAATACTAATTTTAAAACCTATGCAAATGACTCTTAGGAGGAGTATAGCTTTGCCAGGAACTTGATTTCAAACTTCTGGGCTCCAGAACTACAATAGAACCACTTCCTCTACATTAATTTATCCAGTTTACAGTCACTTGTTACAGGAAACAAGTACGGCTCAGACATGAGGCACACAGCTATTGTTCCATGAAGGAAAGCAAGCCTTTTTTTCAGAGCCTATCGCCCTTGGGTCTGCCAGTCAACAAACACCCTGGACCCAGTTAATCTTCACTGGGGCTCTGTGTTGTGCATATGAAATCATTAGTCTGTAATCAGACAGTTTTCCACAGTTTCCTACGTCTAAGTTAGTCACTAGAACATTTTTGTTGTACACTGTCATTTTTTACATTACATAGCAAGTAGTCTGACGTTGTATGCAAAAAATCCTACTCTCCATGAATAAGAGTATTTCTGCCTTGCCAAAATGATCCGACAGTGTCGTCAGTTCGATGGCTATTGATCATTTACCTGCAATGACCATATTTAGAAAAGCAAAGAGCTCATTAGAGGAAACAAGGAATCTAATTTCATTAGCTATTAATGCTCAGGGGCACACTGTTAAATTGATTGATATTCACCCTCAGTTAAGTTATGTGAGAATAGTATATGTGATTAACTTGAGTTCTGCTGTAATATGGAACTTTCTGGAGACACCATTAAAGGTGCCTTTGTGCCTGCAATGCAAGGTTGAAATTTTTTATATTTTCATAGTTAGGAAAGTACTCCTTGCTATAGTATACAGTCTCCAGTTAACCTAATCCTCTTTAAAATGGCTTATTAAAAATTCTCTAAAAGACAAGTGCGTATAAGTTCTTCAAGTTTGAAAACAAAGTTCTTTAAAAAGAGACTGAAGTTTAATACATTATGGCTAACCATTCTGTAAAGGCCAAAAATGCAAAATGTTAATTAAAACTTTTATCTCAAAGGGGGATTTGAAACAAAACATTGAAAATTTGAGCTTCTTCATTTCAGTATCTGTGTTTCTATTTAACAGAAAATAATGCTACAGGAAATTTATATATTGTTTTAATAAATATTTACTGCTCTGTAAAGAGAGAATGTAACTATCTCTTAAATGATAAGTCAGCTCATACAAAGTATGAAAATATACAAAGCTAACACAAACTTTTTAAGAGCTTGCTAATAGATAAAATGGAAAGGTTTTGCAGGACATTCTGGATTTCTGTCCTCTCTTGAAAAGCTGGCTGCACCTCTTTGAGTGGGACCTGTTCTCCAGGGTTCCGAGTGTTCCTGTAGTCTGCTTTGCTCACCTATGTCAATTGCTGAGTCCCTTAAGTCATTTGCAATATCTCCTACTGGTGTGTATCAATAACTATAAATCATGTCAAAATTCTGCCTAAAATTCAGATCCCATTTCAAAGACATCCCTTCTATGAAGTTTCCAGTTCTCTCTATCTGGAATTGATCTCTTTCTACCCTGAGAGCCCTCAATGATTTGTCTGGTGTTTTAGAATAATCACTGTATTATATTTTGGAGTACATTTAATGCATCTGTCTGTCATATTGGGAAAATATTAGTCTAATGCTTTTCAGGTACTAATGAACATGCTAAGTAAAAGCTGGGAAGTCAGACAGACTTGACACCTTGCTTCAAAATTCCTCTACTTTCTACTTCTTGATGTATAATAGGTGCAGTTTATTGATGAAAACAATCAGATTTTTTCTAATTCACAGATATGCATATTATATCTCATTTGTGCTTTAGAGCAGAAAATCATTACTGATGATGGTTACCAATATGATCTATGCACTATTGATGTTTCGTATATGCTTTTGATGGAAATGTCTAAATCTAAGAGTCCAAAGAACTACTTAGACTGAAGAGTGCGTGTGGATTCGGTGTCATCCTGGACCTGGTCTAAATGTCTGGCTGTAGAAAGTGTTTACTGCAGTACAAGAAGGAGCACGAAAATGTTTCAAAAGCTTTAGGAACTCATACTAATGATAACTCTTCCCAGTTGAGTTACTGTGTCATAAATTACTTCTTTGATCCTGGGATTTACTATACTCAGCTCTATAGCAGTCTCCGAAAGTCTTCTCCAAGTTATGGACCTGAAGGTCATTATGTTAAGTGAAATACACCAGGCACAGAAAGACACACACTATATGAGCTCTAGAAACAAGTACATTTTTCTTTCCCCAATCTTAAGTGGAATCTGAAAAGCTGGTCTCATCACAGTGGGTACAGATAGTGGCTATCAGAGGCTGTGGAGAAGTGGATGTGAGAGAGGGAAGCAGAAGGGCTTATCAGTGTTACTAAGCAACACTCAGACAGAAACAAGAAGTTCCAATGTGCTATTGCACAGTCGGGCCACTAGCGTTAATGACAATGCACTGTACCTCTCAAAAAGCTAGAGAATCTTAAATGCTTCATCTAAAAGGACAGCAGAGAAAGATATGTTTAACCTACCACTAACATTACACAATGCAAACATGTACCAAAACATCAGATGGTATCTTATTAATATGTGTGACTTTTATGGTTTTGTATCATTTAAAGCTGACTTAATTTAAATAAAAATAAATAAATGAAATTAGATTTTTTTCTATTCTTCATAAATTTCTCTTCTGTTGTTACTCCTGAAATATAGGAATAAATACAAAATTTAGTTGCTTTGTCTTTTTATATATCTTTTGGGAATTAAGAGATACTCAAAAATATTTGATAATTATCATTCTCCCAGGAATACAGTTTTATATGTTTATTTCTTGCATATTTACATACAGAGATATATAGATGCAGTAAACATAGTATGACATTATGATACTAAGACAACATGGATACTATATGTTTAATGTATATAATTATACATATAATTATGCATATGATATAATACACATATATACATATGTTAAACATTATATATTAAATGTACA